TGCCGGGTCCCGCCGGGCAGCCCCGCTGCACCCGCCTGTCCTGCCGCGTCCCGCAGCGGAGCGTGGCCAGGCCGGGCGCAACCCCGCGCACTCACTTGTCCCGCAGAACGACGCCCTCGATGCAGGCTCCGAAGAGGATGACCGAGCTGATGTCTGCGGGCCGTGAAGGAGCCACCGAGCGGCAGAGCCCCCCGCCCCTGCCAGGCCCCGGGCAGCGCCAGCTCCTCCACTGGGCTGTCCCGTCCCACCCCATGCCCGGAGCAGCCCCGCCAGGCCTCCCCGCTCCCCCCGAGCCCCAGCCCTGGCCCCGGTGATGCCCGACCCCGAGGATACAGACAGCCGAGGTGGTGGCGATGGCCAGGATGGTGCCGGTGGGGATGGATTTCTGGGCGTCGCGCAGGTCGCCCGAGCGGTTGGAGCCGGCCATGATTCCTGCAACACACAAGGGAGGGCATGTGCTGGGCAGCATGGCAGGCAGCAGGGTGGCACAGCTGGCACGGACCAACCCGGCACGGCATGGCCCAGCACGTGCCAGGTCCTTCCCTCCCACCCCCGGTCCGCTTCCAGCTCCACGCCCAGCCCCGTTCACCCTGCTGCACCTTGGTCCTGGGTAAGCGGGGGGCAGAGCTGCACCTTGGGGGGCAGCCCCACGCGGCAGCACATGCCTTTGCACCAGTGACACGCAGCCCAGTGTGCGCAGCCCTGGACACACACACACAGCCCCAGGGTGCATGCACACACACAGCCCCGTACACACACATATGCCCACACATACGTGCACCCAGCCCCAGGGGATGTGCCCAGCAGACCCACCGTGGATCCTGCCGCCGTGGCTCACAGGATCAGGTCCTATCGTGCCAGCGTGTGCTGTGTCTTATCAGCCCTTCGGCCGATGGTAGCAAAGGGCGCTACCAGCACCTTTGGGCCCAGCACAGGGTAGCTGCAGCGGAGCGGGCGAGCTCCCCTGCCCCCACCAAGCAATGTCTGCCCTCGCCCCGGTGCCAGGGCCAGCATGCAGCCCAAGCCCTGGGAGGCAGGAGGGAGCGCCGCAAGGAGCTCGGTGCGAGCATGGCCTGGAGCCAGCCCTGCCTTCCCCTCCTCCTGCTGCAGTGGGCTCGAAGGCAGGCCAGGCCAGAGCCCAGGCCCTGGTGCGTCCCCGCTGCGCTGGAGCATCGCTGCGTGGCCTCAATTACTCATGGGGCACAAGGGCATGGAGAGGGCACGACCTGGCGGCAGAGCGCCCGCGGGGCCGGCCCAGGCTGCGCTCCACCGGGGCCCCGTCCTGCTCCGCACTCTCCAGGCATCTCTGCCTGCAGAGCTGGCCTGGGAGCTGTCCGGCCCGGGAGGTGTTGACCCTACAGCAGGGGCGAGCGGGTCTGGCAGGAGCAGCGCAAGGCCCTCAGGGCGGGGGCCGCCCGGCCAGGGCTGGGCACCAGAGACGCTCAGAGAGGAGCGAGACCCGTGTGCACACACACTCAGGCACATGCACACGCACAGCAGACTGGATTGTGCAGGTCCACGCACACACCTGCACAGGCTGGCACGCATGCACAAGCACTCCCTGCACGTGTGGCTTGGTGCACGCGTGGCTGTGCCCACGCGTGGCGGCAGCTCCTACCTGTGACGGAGGGGAAGTAGATGCCCACTAGGAGGGTGAAGTACGAGGTCATGTCGCTGAAGACGTAGGGCTGGTCCAGGTCCACGGGGGCGTCCGAGGGGGTCACCGAGGGCATCCCCTGCTTCTCCACGATCACGCCTTTGGCCAGGTACGTGCTCCAGAGGTTCTCTGCAGGCAGAGGGGAGAGCGGCTGCGTGAGCACCAGCCCGCCATGCCCCTCCCTGCTTGAGCGCCAGCCTGGCACGGGGGAGGCCGACAGGTCAGCACAGACGGGCCATGGGCTGGGCAAAGCCAGGGCCTGGCTGGGCTTCACCATCTGTCCGGAGCTCTTTGCCACCACTCTGCCCGCTTTGAATCGAGCTGTGCTCAGGCTTCAGCCGCACCCCGTGGCAGCCAGGTCTGCAGGTCGGTCCCCCCACCACACACCACCGGGCCTGAGCCCTGCACCATTGCCCCCATGGCAGCACGGCCTCAGGACCCCGGCAGCTCGTGCTGGCTGACCACCCGCGCCCGGGTCCGGGCAGACGCCTGCAGCCGCAGGGCGCAATAGGGAACAGGGGTAGGACGCAGCTTCCCGGAGCCCCCCGAGGCTGCAGCCCCTGCCCCGGGGAGCGGGCACCAGGAGCAGCTCCTGGAGACAGCCGTGAGTCACCGCCCGCCCTGGGAGCGCGCGAC